GTTTGTTTTCCATTCTTTTGAGACAGGGTTTATCTGTTTTGGTTGTTCTGGCTCTGTAAACCAGGCTGGTCTCGAACTCACAGAAATCTGCCTGCCTCTGCTTCCAGAGTGCTGGAAATAAAGGCCTGCACCACCAGTAAAGGTATCCTTTCCTTATCAGCTTCATAAGGACTTTTCTTTGGACTCCAATGGCTTGTTGCTTATTTTGCTTTGTGCTTTTTATCCTTCTTCATTTCCTGGAAGTGTTTCACTGGCCTCACCAGTAATGGGGTTCCCACCATGTAGCTTTACTCCTTACTATAGGCCTGTGATGGAATAAAGCATATATTCTTCTTTGGCAGGAGGTCTCATGATCACCGGACATTGACTGAGTTCATGACTTTGAAGTCCCAATGAAGATTATATCTCCACTTTTCTGTTTTATTTTGTTCTGGTGCTGGGCACTGAACCCAAAGCAAAGTGAGTGCTACCATCCCAGCTCAATTCTCTTGTAGGTAGTAATTACTCATGTCTGTCTGTCATCTCAATGTGTGCGTGCAAACAATGAGTTATACATGCTAAAGTAGTTTATAAAATCATAAGATAGTATATACATTTGAGGTACTGTCAAATACACCAAGTGTGCTATTTCTACCTATGTGTCTGTCCTCCTATTACTTAAGATTCAATATATTCAAATTAAATTAATTTCCTTCCTTTCTAAGCTGAATTTTAGATAACTTTATCTTTTCTCATTTTTATATTAAACCACTCTAAACTCTTGATTTTCCTGCTGTGTTTTCTATATAAAAAAAATCCCACCTATTCTTTCTCTCCTCAGACAGGACCTGTCTACGTTTTACATCTGCCTCGATTGCGTTCCACCTTAATTTTGAGCAAGATTTCACAGTGCACTGGAGACCACCAACTCATCAAGACAAGCTGGGCAAAGAGCCTGAGGCATCCCATTATCGCTTCCTTCCCAGCACTAGGCTTACAGGGTGATGCTGGTCTCTGAACCAATGTCCTCAAGTTTGCTTGAGGAGTGCTTTGCTAACTGCATTATCTCCCCAGTCCTCCAATCCAGAATTCTACAAACCTTGTGACATGTATAAAGATGGACTAGACATTTGGTCTTTACTTGCTTAGTATTTATCCATTTTTCTCTAGAAATAGCGATGTGCTTTTTATATGTAATAGAAATGTAATGTAATGGCGATGTAATATTTGGGGAATATTAATTATTGTATGCATTTCTTTTGTAATAGATAAAAAGGTGTTTCTTTTCTCAAGTAAAATGCCCCTTTTGGCAAAAGGATGAAACTATATTCCAAGTGGGAGATAGTGTTCCATTTTCCTAGATGCCTAGTACGGCAAATATAATACGGTTGAAGTTTATATTCTGCTTTATGTCGTGAGAACTGCCAGTTTGAGTCTATTGAATTTTCTGCAGATGCTATCTATTCAATAGAATTCTTCCTACAGATATCTTCTTGGTAAGGTCAGACTGCTTCAGGAAAGTAATTATACAAATCAAGGCACTGAAGCTGTCAAAGTCTTATATTGACTTTAGTATCCCCACAACTCTAAATTCCTTTTCCAATCATATATGTTTTCAATTACTTCTAAGTTATTAAAAATTATGATAATGAAAATGTGTTACATTTACACAATGGAATACTACACAGCAGAAAAAAATCTTAAAATTCGCAGGCAAATGAATGGAGCTAGAAAACATCGTTTTTAGTGAGGTAACCCAGACCCAGAAAGACAATTATCACATGTACTCACTCATAAGTGGTTTTTAAATATAAAGCAAGGAAAACCAGTCCACGAATCACAATCCCAGAGAACCTAGACAACAATGAGGCCCCTAAGAGAGACATACATAGATATAATCTACACAGGAAGTAGAAAAATACAAGATCTCCTGAGTAAATTGGGAGCATGGGGATCTTGAGAGAGGGTTGAAGGGGAGGGGAGAGGCAGGGAGGGGAACAGAGAAAAATGTAGAGATCAATAAATAAAGAAAGAGAATTAACATATATAAAGGGGTTTTTCAATTAACATCGGTTGATGTTTTGTAGTTCCATTCATTTGCCTGCAAAATTTATGATGTTTTTTCCTCTGTGTAGTATTCCATTGTGTAAATGTACCACATTTTCCTTATTGTAATTCTTAATAGACTTAGAAGTAATTGAAATTCATTCACAACATTTGATTTTCATCACTTTTTATTAGTTCTTCAATACTTTCTTTCATGTGTATAAAGTATTTTGATCATGTCTACCTCATCATCGGCTTCCTACTCCTTCTTCATGTCCTCTTTTGTTTATTTATTTTTAAAATGTTGGATTTTTATCATGTTTTAAAAATGAATGGCTGATAACAGCCAAAATGTTAGGATTATGACCTTTATTTTTTCAGTTTCAATCCTGCCATCCCTAGAAAAATAGGGCAAACACAAAAGATAATTGAAAATCGTGAATCCTTCCTGAGTCTGATTAAACTTTATGTGCAGTTCCCTTGTCCTCCATGGGCACAGCAAAGGTAGGTCTTATCTGAAGTCCTGTATCCTCAGTATCATGACCTTCTTCTTGGATCTACTCATGCATCTCATGCAATTAGACTATACTGGCCTCATTTTCTTAGTAGGTACATTGCGGTGCAGACTCATATAAAGTCCTCAAAATTACTCTCCAAAATTCAGACAGAATGGCTGGAGTGTGGAGTACTACATTTGATAATGGGTGATCAACACAAGCTGGTGATCAGGTAGGGATGGATGTTTTGTTTCTTCTTAAAAAATTCATGTTGTCACTCAATGAATAGAATTACTGTTTATAATGATTCATGAGCACTGGAAAGAAATAGGTTAAACTCAAATTCAGTGCATACATTGCTATCTTTTGAAATTTGTCATATTTTAAATGTTTTCTTGGAGTATTTTCCCCTTGGTATATCTCTTCAATATGACTATTTCTGCCATGACTGTAAAGAGCCATTCAGGACTTTCTGGGTACAACTGTAGGTTTCTAGCCTGCTGTACAAGAAGACTGGAGCTGGATTTTATTGAGGTATAAACTTTACAAACGGAATATTTGTTGTCATGTTTTATGTGTGTGTATAGGATGTGTATGATAGGTGTGTGTGGGCTGTGTATAGGTGTGTATGTAAGTGTGTGTATGGGTGTGGTGTGTGTATGTGTTTGAGATGTGTGTTTAGATGTGTGTGTGTATGTATAGGGTGTGTGTGTACAACTGTGTGTATGTAGGGGTGTGTATAGGTGTGTGTGTATGTAGGGGGATGGTGTGTAGGTATGTATGTATAGCTGTGTGTATGTAGGGGTATGCATGTAGCATAGGTATTGGTGTGTATATAAGTGTGTGGATGTAGGTGTGTGTATGTGTGTGCATGTGTGTGTAATGTGTGAAGGGGTGTGTGGGGGTAGGTATAGGTGTGTGTACCTGTAGGTGTGTGTGTAGGTGTATGCGTGTATAAGGTGTGTGTGTAGGGGTGTGTATGTGGGGATGTATGTGTAGGCATGTGTGTGTATAGCTGTGTGTATTGGTATGAGTGTAGGGGTGTGTATAAGTGTGTTTGTAAGTGCGTGTGTAGGTGCAGGTTTGTGTGTGTGTGTGTGTGTGTGTGTGAGAGAGAGAGAGAGAGAGAGAGAGAGAGAGAGAGGTATGTAGGTTTATGTGCTGGGGGGGATGCAACCCGCAGTGTGCGTGCGGTGATCAGCACATAATTTCCAGAATGGTATTGAACTCAGATCCTTAGGTTTGCTGGCAAGAGTCATCATGCTAGCTCTCAAACTTAGAGAGCTCGGGCCTATGGTAGGATTGTAAATTCAAAGCCCGCCCAGGGTACACAGAGAGCTCCTGTCTAAAAATAGAGGAAGCAAAGAAGATTGAGCTTTATTCATTCTTCTGGAGAATGTCAGTCATTGAACACACCACCATGAGCTGCCTTAAGACTGTGGAGGTGATAATGAAATATAGTCAACCGGAACTTAGTAGAGGTATCTAGGCTGAGAAAAGCCACTACATAAAGGCCATCGAAGACGCAGGGACACAAGGACTGAAGTACAAGATGGTTACATACAGAAAAACTTCCCAAGATCTGGGTGCTCCCACGTCCACTGTGGAGGACGAGGAGATATTGAAGATGACACAGGCAGAGACAAAGTGCAGGTAATGTCCTTGGTGCCTAGAGATAGAAGCATCTCTAGCTTTTCCTTCTTCCCTGTGGATTCTCAGACTTGGAGTCAGACTGCTGGTTCCGACTCTATAAGAATTCTTGTTTCTTCCAAGCTGGCTCTGAATTAGATTGAGACTAACTCTCCCCGAAGTCCTGTTGCCTCTGACAGGGCAAGAACAGCAGTGGCTTCAGGGTCAGGAGACCTCCTTTCTCACAGCTGCCTCACTTGGTGCCTCCAGCTGTGCAGATTTAACAAGCCATGGCCGCACTTTTCCTTGGCTAACAAAGGCTCCAGGAGGCCAGAAATCCACAAAGACTTCTTTAGGGTGATCTGGGGATGTGACTTAGTGGTAAAGTATACATTTAGTACATGTAAGGTTTGACTTCTAGCACTACAAAAACACAAGCAAAAAGTGTCTTGCAGGTTGTCAGATCAACATACAAGGGAGGTGATTTGGCCTAGCTACTGTTTCCTACTCTGAAAAACCAAGAAACTGAGCCTTGGGGCACATGCCAAGGAATCGTGAGACCCAATTCTGACTAAAAAGGCTCTTCAAAAGCCATTTCTCACAGTACATATTAAAACACTCCTTAGCATATTCTTTGAAAATATGGCAACACCTAGAATTTCATAATTATCATGACTCCTTTTATTTCAAAACTTCAATATATTAGCCCTTAAAGTGAGGCACATATATGTCATCTTCCTTAAATTATTGTATTGTCACACATTATAGTTATGACACTGCTTTCACGTCGCCTAATTTACTAGGACACAAACAGGAACGGAAATAAGGAACAGAAACTTTAGATTATTTAGTCATTCATACTTTTATTTTTTCATAGTGATCTTTGCCAATTCCTAACAAAAATAAATAAAAACTAACAATAACTTGTAAATTACAGTCTCCTTCACTATTTTAAGGTACACAACTATCAAAGCTGATATTACCTACTAACAAATTGATACAATTCAGTTCTCCGACAACATTCATAGTCAAATAAGTTTTAGGTGAACGCAACTTTATGTTCCATTAGAATCTTTAAGAGAAACCTTATACCTGACTGGCTCTTCAAACTTACAAAGTGCAAGGACAGAGTGCAAAGGGACTGTGTTCCATCCCACAGCATCGGGGGTGAAGAGCAGAGATCTCCTAGACATTCATATTCTTCCAATAAAACTTCAAATGAACCCCAGAAATGGCGCCCATGCTCCTCTTCCTCCCATAGCATTAGAACAATTAGAAAAAAAAATTGGGCAGCAAATAAAACTTTTTAAAAAAAATTCCACAAAATAGAAATTGAAGCAAAAATGACAAGTTTGGCGGGATAAAATGATTTAAAGGAAACTTTACTGTTTTTATGACTAAAAGAAACAAAAATTAGACACTCGGGTGTGCCACATAATTGCTAGATACTTAATTAATTGCCTTCTCCCAGCAGTTAAATTTATTTTGCTATCTTTTCAAGGACTTAAAAGTTAAATATTTGGCTTTCCCCGTGGTTTGATTTTTACCCGGGAGGGGAGGGTGAAAAGATGGAAGAAAGCAGTGGAGTTGTGGTGTGGCATGGAGGCTTTATGTAGCAAAAATCTCAGTTCTCAGACAAAATTGCAGAGTTGAGCACAGCGCATTGGGTCTTTGCTTACAGAGTGCATCTACTGGGTTATCTGATAGGTCTTGATGGGAGACTGTAAGGGATGCAGCTTTGCATCTGGAATTGCTATGTGTTCAATACAGGATGTGTATAGCCTTGTCGATGTTCCTGCATGAGTATGTGTATGTGCAATATAATGACAAATATGTGTGACACATGAATTGATTGTACTCTTCTTATGGTCACTTAGCATAATCTTCACTAAAACAGTGACTTTTTCCAAACTTATGTTCACCCAAAACCTGTAATCTCGATCATACTATTTCATTAATAATATGTTTTTTATGGGACTACAGCTGTAGCCCAATGGTAGTGTTTGCCCAACATGTGAAAGGCTTTGAGTTTTATTCCCAGCTTTGAGATCAATATATATATATATATATATATATAAATGTTTTAAAAACATTTAAAGATATGCAAAGCTATTCCAAAGTTCTTGCATCAAATTCTGTGGTGTGGTGTGCTTGGAAATGTTCATAGAGGAGCAATATACCCATATCTAAAAGCCTTCTTTGGCATCTGTAAATTAACTCGCTCTATTCTAGCTCAGTTCTTGGTGAGCTTTAAACTTTCATCTGGAGAAGTCAAGGCCACTTAAAACAGACCAGGTTTCTTCTGTCCAGTTGGTACCAATGGGATTTAAAATGTGTTCTTACTCAGGACCTTAGACTTTAGCTAAATAAAATGACAAAGAAATATACCTTTAAATATCACTGACCTTCATTTGCCTTTGTCTTCTTAGAAGTAAATATGTTGGCTAATGCAGAAATAAACAGCTGTAATTCTGCAAAGTGTGGCGCGGATGTATGCACAAGCGTGTGCACAGCAATGCAGTGTGCATTGCTTCTTTCATCTGCTGCTTTCCCACATAGCAAGGCCTGGACTTTTGATGCGAGCTGTGTGAGCCTTCCAGGGTTTTCCATGAGTGGCTCCATAGGGCAGGAATGTTTTCTTCCCTTGCACTCTAGAGGTCAGAGGCAACTCATGGAGGCTTGGCTGCCCTACCACATGCCAGGAAAAAGGTGGAGGAAGAATAGACTCTCCCTGGCCTGGAATGTGCTCCAGAGAGATTCCACCTAAAATTGAGCCTTTGGTTAGGCAGCCTCCCAGGAAAGGCAAAGGTGTGCCGGCGGGGAATCCTGAGGCAACCACACAGAATCAGCGAGTGACTCACAGAGACCCACAGGCCGGGAGCAGAGTCTAACTTCTCTCTTTCCATAAATGCAAACAAATGACAGGGAGAGGGCCCATGTTTTTAAAATGGAACTTTAAAATCTGAAATAAGGTATTTGCTGAACTAGTTGTCAGTGAAAATTCTCTTGAAACTAGGCATGGTAATATGGGCCTATAATCCCAGAGCCAGGGAGGCTAAGGCAGGAGAATTACCATGAGTTTGGAGCCACTCTGATCAAAAGAGTGAAACTCTGGGTTAAAAACAACAACAACAACAACAAAAAGAAAAACAAACAAAACCTCTTGAATATAAAATAAAAAGTACATTTCCATGTTAGACAAGATCTGACTAGCAACCGGCTATATTTTAAAATTATGATTAATTTGATTTGGGATTCTGATTTAATCCTATAACAATAAATAATCTAAAATGGAGTTCAAATTTTCTTCAAATGTGGCTTTTCTGATTGATATTCAAGAAGGACTTCACATTAATGATGTACTCTACATAAAAGGGATGCCCGTGCTTCAGGTGGGTTAGCACAGGCCTTGTTCTTGGCCCCTCTCGGCACGTCTGTACCAAATAGCAGGGATGCTGAGGAGAGATCCTCTCCAGGATTCATTGGCTCACGGGTGTGGTGTCAGGCACACAAGTTGGGTTTACCTCCCCTTATTACTGTTTTAATACATGAAGTAATGGTGTCAACCTCTGTGCCAAGCCATGATATAGTCAAATCAGTTGTCACAGATCTGAGAAGCAGAAAATAAATTATTTACACAATTGATTTGACCTTATTATTTATGCCCACCGGAATGGCACTTGCAACAGGCTGGGCATTGCTGACTCTGAGCGTAGCTCCAGCTTACTGAGCTTTGATGGTTTTCAATAAAGCATTTCACTCAGGAAATTCTTACAAAAATATCAATTTTCTTTTGATATTAAATACTTTACATATAATATATTAACAATAGTCTGTCAAAAATAAAACACTTTCCAAATACATTAAAAAATAAACAGTTATTGACCTAACACATGACCCAACATAAATATTATTAATATAATTAAATATTGACATCCCAGTTCAAAACTTGATGGTGATGTTCAGACTTGTGGCACCGCGGGGTCTCCGGAAGTTACTCTCTCATATTCCTTCTTTGATTTATTACTTTTTCGATGTTTGTACCTAGAAAACACCAGAAAGGAAATAGCACTGTAACTAACAGATATAAAAACAAACTCTAAAACAAATACATGGACTCCCAGGGCACATTAAGAACAGGCATCTGGTGGCATATGCCTTTAATCCCCAGCTGGGAGACAGATGCTCTGGAGATGGGTCTCTGAGTTCAAGGCCATCCTAGTCGACAGAGTGAATTCCAGGGCAACCAGGGCTACGCGGAGAAACCCTGCTTCAACAAACAAAAGGGGGAGGGCATCCGAAATGACCAGAGTGACTCTACTTAGGTCAAGCAATGGAAAATCGAGAGACCAAGAGGGCAATGTCCTGCAGCCCATCTGGTTTGGTAAGAAATGGATATGAAACAGTTAACATGAAACTGTTTCTCCAAGGGCTTAATGTGAGAACAAAGCTGGGGATGACAGGAGAAGTTCTCCAGTATCTTTTTCTATCAGTTTCTCTCAGCAGTATTGAGTTCTGTTACATCTAATTAGATGTATATAACCCGAATGGGTCTACTAGTATACCTTAAATCTTCCCCAGGTTATATTTCAAACCCGATACAATGCAGAAGCTCTACGGTACCTGTTAGAGCCTGTTTTTAGGTTCGGAACAGATACTATTTTCAAATTCTAATTAGGAAGACATTGTCATTGGATGACTATTTAGAACAAAATTTAGACAGTGTTTTTCAGAAAAGATTTCAACAAACAATGTGTACCAACTTCAAACTAAGAAATGTAAACTGGAAAGATTTTTGTGGGCACTATTAACTATTCAGACTGTTTCATAAATCCAGTCAAATTAAAAACCCTGACAATCTTTAGTTACATATCCTCTCATTTGCCATTTTGTGATAATATCTCTGTAGGACAAGAATCCTAGTTATTACAGGATGACATTTGCAGTCTGTATTTTATAGAAAAATGAATATTTCCTATTTTGACCTTTATATGCATATAGGCAGGAAGTAAAGGTTAGCAATTTAATGAAGCCTGGGTGTAATGCAAAAGGGCAGTTTTGTAAATACCACAGTGCAGATTCCATCTTGTGCCACTCATATTATGTTTAGATTTCAACCAGTTTGCAGGTCTGTTATTGGGTAGTTTAGAAATCAATGGCTAATAAAACAAACCAACTTACCATCTGCAGAAATAGTATATGGACCCAGTGGTGATGACAAAGAACAGGAGAATGAGAATCGCTGTCAGGGCGACGTATTCTTTGCTCAAGGGTTTGTGAACGGTGAGGAAGAAGTGTTCACACCGGAAACCAGTATAGCCCACGTCACATCTAAAGAATGCAAAAGAAATCAATTATTTTTAAATGAAGCCATGTTATGAGTTAGTGCTATAAGAACTAAGTCTTCACTTAGTGAAGAAACCATCAAAAAAAATTTAAAGTTATAAAAATGAATTCAAAAATTGAACTCAGAGTTGGGTCAACATTAATAAAATGCCTCCACACAGCGTGTAGGACAATCTGATGTGGCCACTAAGGTACTGGTCACCTAGGAGGGTTGAGTTTTATAATATGAGGTTTTCCTTCTAATTAGTAGAATTGATTCTTAAAACAATAGCTTATAGAGAAATTTAATAAAGGTTCAGTTGCCATTGTAGTGAGAGGGGAGGCATCTGAAGTTCCCCTCATTGTTCTGCACCCCAAATTATCTGTCCAGATTGAAATGTTATATTTACTTTCTAATATCAAAATCGTAATAAAGTTTTTAATTGTATAAAAATAAAATACATTTCAACAACCGGTAGAAATGTAGGAACTAAATACAAAAGGAGAGAGAGGACAGTGCAGACTCCAGGACCATCATCACGTGCTCATGTTACCTGCAGTAGTGTTCACTCATGTCCACCAGGTAGATGCACTGTCCGTGCAGGCAGAGGCCATTCATGTCAGAGCTGCACTTGGTGATTGACACCTGTGCCACACGGGGATTGTCTTCCGTCTGAACTGTGACGAGAACGCAAAGTTCAATGACTTGTGTTACAGAGTGCATGGCTATCCTTTAATAACAACAACCTCTGTACAACTTCAGCAGTCAGGTCAGAGGTCAGCAATGGAGAATTTGGGGGCTCTAGACATTACCCTACTTACTGCATTTCCCCAACCTAAAAACAGACACCTGAACATGCAGCAGGCCCCCAAGCAATAAGCAAACAGCTTCACATAGAACAACCTGGAGGATTTAATATTCAAAAGACAGATATACAGACAGGTTGGAGTACTCTTTCCTGCCCAAGTAACACAACAACAAAAAAGCAGTAGTGGAGGGAGGTTGACAAAATTCCAGAAAGCTTAGTGATGATGGACAAGAAAGAAGATAACCCAGGACAGCTCTTTGGCGTACGTATTCAGCTGAGACCAAAGCATAGAGCCTTCCCTTGAACCATGTTCCACTTGGGGAACAATGACTGCTCAGGGGTCACCATCAGTCACCTTTGTATTTCTACCTGAACACTATGCTGATTCATACCAAGCACTCCATAAACGGTTCCTGAACGCTAGGACTGACGTGGAACGAGAACATTTCTTCCTCTGACACGCTACAGCTGTGTACGAAACTTAGACTTTCCTGGTTTTCATGGGAATCGTCCCCTCAAATACTCTCCAATAATGGCTCTATACTAATGGATTTTTCTTATTTTCTGTCTTTCTAAAACTCGATTTTTTAAAATCTATAACCGCATGTCTTATCTTTCTCCCCTTGTTACTTCTTTGTGAAATTTCTCCAGATCTCTAGTTAACTATAAGGCTAAAAATGGAGAGAGCAGGTGTCCCTTTCTTCTGCTTCTTCAGCTTGTATTAATATTTACATTTTCTTTACAAATGTGAAAAATCTCTGATGCTGCTTCCATGTCCTCAGGCTTACCTAGGGCTGTGCAGTTGTCCTCGGACTCTCCTGGGATGCACGATGGAATCACGGTTGTGCTGATGACCCCTTGTAGAAAGTGGAAACCTAGTTATGGAAGATAAAATACATAATTAATGTATCTAGAAAAGCAACTGTCACTAAATTTCTATGTATCATCCCTATTGGTTGAGATGTTCTGTTTTAAGAAGTTAATTCATCAGACTGATAACAGAAAATAATTTATGAAAACGTTCATATAATTGAAAATAGGTGGTATCTCTTGTAAATAGATTTTAATTTACAAAATAAAGTCTAGATAAAATGAGAATATCGCTGCCCTTTTTTGTTTGTGGGGATTAACTTTAGCATCCCCATAGATACCTAAGTTTGCAGCTGTTCAAATCCCTTTCCTAAACTGCTGTAGGATTTGCATATAATCTGAGTTTGTTTCCTAGTGGACCTTAAATCATTTCCAGATTACATCTAAAATCCAATACAATACAGGTGCTATGTGATACCTGTTATACTCTGTTGTTTAGGTTTGGTACCTACACTATTTTCAAATATTTTGAACCCATGGATACAGGCGGGCCATCTGTATGTCTTATCTAATAATAAAGAAGAAACTGGTGAGCCATGCCAAGCTGTACAAGCCCTAGCACCGATTGTCTGTCAGCACAGTGAAATTGAAACAACTGTCTCATTCGGCAAAAAAATGAAGGTTGGAAATTAGGTATCAGAATGACTCAAATCACTTCTGAATTGTGCAGGAAACATGATAAGAAGAGCCTTCTAATGAGATAATCTGGTTATGCAATAGTATTTTGCCTCTCCTGTTTAATCTTTGAGTATTTGCACTTCAAACTTCTTCCTGGCTTGTAGAAGTTACTATTATATAGTCAACGCCTATGTTGGAGGTAGGAGTAGCAACAGCAATTGATAAGCCTCAGTCACAAACCAGGCAGAGGTATTGTTCTGTTCATCTTATCCATGCTATCAGTGATGCTAAGGAAGTCATTACTACCTCTATCAGACATTTTAAAAAACCTCCTGAGCATGAAGAATTTAAATAACTTCTCCCAATGACACACATTAAATGGGTCACATGATAGAATTTGGAAATGAGTAATGATACTTGACTATAATGAACACCACATGGAGCACATCAGGCTAGTGAAAGCAGAGTATTTTTTGCATCACAGATAAGCAAAAGAATGGTAAAAAATATAATAGTGTGAGAAAAGTTGATTTACACTAGTTGGACACAAAACTCACTTTCCTAACTCTCAATTTTTCTTACAGAGTTTTAGAGAGACTGAAATGGATTTTTCCCCAGAAATGCCTAATGTATCCGAGATTCCCATAAATACGCCCGACAGGCAACTTCTAGCCTCTAGTTTTAATTAACTATCCAGTTAGTGCCCTCTACTGGTTTACACAAGAGTATAAATTTCTATAAATGGGCATTTAAATGAATCATTTAATTTATATGTTAAAAAATAGATTTTTTTTTCTTCATCAGAGGATCTTTGAACTTACCAACCAAATTGCAAATGGGGATGTTCTAAACAACAAGGCACAGATCAATAACCTCAGCCTCATGGTTTCTGGTGCCATTTTTCAAACTTGACACAACAATTCTGTTTATGTTAAAGACTTGTATATACTCCAGATGGGACCAGAATGTGCGAATTACACATCTTATACAACACCACTTATCAAGGTACCACAGAAGACAAGACCTAAGGCATCCGTTTCATATTCTTTCGGTGGTTTGAAACCACTGAAAGTTCTAGAAGCATCCTTTCCCCCGTCACATTTCTCTGTACACCATAAATTGCTTTATAAACCAAAATTAATGTTTCTTAAATGACTAAAAAGAAAACTGATGTCTGAATTTCACTGTCAGTTAAACAGAGATGCAAACTGTTTTCCATGTAATTGAGGCTGGAGATGTGTGATTTGGAGGAGGACCTGGATTCTAGTCCACATTAGTCTTGTTCTCCTTCTCAGTAGAGTTTCGCCATGCAATGTACTGAAGAATTAAACGATTTAACCTAGACAGTCTTTTCAGCACAAACTGGGCTTCTGGTTGAACATGATTTTATCCTTGACACACGACACCCCACCTCCAACCCCGCACCCCCACTTCCCCACCCCGCTCAGTTCTCACGTGTACTTCATTAGTCAACAAAAATACTGGAGGAGGCATTTCAAATATCTCTCTAGGAAAGCACCTTTGTGTGTGCAGGGGTGGGGCCTGGGGGGACACTAGTTTCTCTGTCCAAGCCCTATTATCCATTATCCTCTATTTAGAAGTCACACAGGGCAGACAAGGTGCTGATGTCAAGAGGAGCATTTCCTGCTTAAAATTTCTTTCAGCTGCGACCCGCCCCTGCTGTAGGCTGCTGCTGATTGCAGCTGGGGCTGTTTAGTGTTTGGCTGTTGTTTGTTAAGGTTTTAAGAAATTGTTTGTCTTCCATCATAAGCTTCTAGTTGCTTGGGCCACAGGTGAAATATTTGTCTTTGTAGATTACGGAATGTTCAGCCCAGGGTGTGCCTCTGTGAACACTGGCCTCTCCTGGCCTGTGATGTCTGCGTGGGGCTTAGGACAGTTTCTGTGAGACTCGCTAGGAGAATATTTTGCAGATGAAATCGTACATAATCATACTAAAGTGTGGGATCGCACTCAGTCACAGACATGTAAGAGCGGTGAACAGCAGAAACGGGTCCAGATCATCTATCTCAGTAGACCCCTGAACTGATTTAAAGCAGGGTTTCCTCGCTGGTCTCCAGCTGTGGCTGCCACAAGGCTTTGGCAGCTGGAACAGAGGAGTAAATGCTGCGATTAGAAGGTGGGATAGCCCACCGCAGAGGACTGGCATAGCCTTACCTGTTGCCTTGCAAAACTTTTTAACCATTGAGAACTGGACCTAGAGCATCGCCCATACTGGGCAAGCATTCCATCATGAAGCTACAGCCCCAGCCCAGCAGTCACAGGTGCAAAGAATAAGTCGCGGCATCCTATCTGCTCAGTTCCTCAGTCTTACAGTTTTCGTTGATATAAACCAGTATAACAATCTATGGTTCAATTGGAAATGCTTTACTTAAGTTTTTGATCCCTTACAAGGATTCCTGCTAATAAAATATTTCACTAGGTTAATATATTAATTTTTTGATAATATCTGTGGCAAAATCTGATGTGGTGACAACATTGACACTGGTTGCTAAGATCCCGAAGAAGTCCCTGCAAAGTGATATGGGTAGATGGCCCATGAAACTTGTGCTCAGAGTTTCAGCTTCACTCTGAAAAGCAAAGACCAACATCACTTCAGGAGCTCCAAGCTGGGTCACAGCTCCAAGTAGGTTAAAGAATGTGATGTCCCTGTTCATCCCTCCCTTCACCTTGTGGTGGTTACCTTTCAGTGAAATCTCAGATACACCAGCAGGAAGTGGAGCCACTGACTCACAGGATGCAATTCGCCTCTTCCCCATGAGTCAGGCAGGGCCCAACCTACACCCTTGAGCAATGATGGGGACCCTGCGTGTGTGCGTGGGAGAGCCTGAGTACGCTCACCGGAATGGGGATAACCCTGACTGCCACCGGCCCTGGAGTGCTGGGACCTGTTGCCCAACATCAAGCAGAATACCAGACACAGAAAAATGTCCTCCAGTTTCTTCTGACCCGCTTCCTAGTGATGACATTGAGGAGCGGGGGACAGGGGTGGGTGATCATCTAGAAGACCAATAGAGAGGAAGTGGGGATTCCGTGACTGGAAGAGAAAACCATTCCCAAGCCTCAGGCAGAAGAAAACATAGCTTCTATAGAAAACAATCAAGCAAATAAAATGGGACAAAATAAATGATGTTAATGAATGAGAGGTGTTCCCCTTTTTTCCCCAATGAAATCTTTCAGAAGATTTAGACCAGAACAGCAAACTCACTATGAATCACAGTATTTGTCTGGCTCAAACAGGTAGCCGAATCCGCTATGAAACCCTCCCCAGGATCATACTCGCTGACCTGCTCTGGAACTGTTGGGTTTTATGCCTTCTTCCAGGGTATGACTATAGGACTTTTTGGTAACAGTCGACTATTGTATCACGTGCGCTTCGAAGACGTGAAGAGAGTGAAGAAACTATTTTGTTGTTGTTTTAATTTCACTGTTTGATAATACCTTGCTTTTTCTTGCTTAAAATAACAAAAATATGTCGAATTGGGTCATGAAAAGATCTGCTTCCTATACTTTCAAGTAACAATCTATATTTCAGACAAAATGTGTATGTATAGGTATGTGTGTGTGTATATATATGTGTGTGTATATATGTGTATATATGATGTGTTATATGTGTGTGTATGTGTGTATACACATATTTTATAGCCTTGTTTTATACAATCACTCTATTCCTACAATTTTTAATTGTTAACCTTATATTTAAGCATCATTTAAATCTAAATATAAAAAAAATTCTATACTCGAGAAAAAACAGCCCAAGAGATTGATATGATACAAATATCTAAATATTTCCTTTAATTTTGAGTTTTAAAAAATCCAAGAAATTTTCTTGGCAAGTGTCAAAGAAATATTTAATATACCATTTTCTAACTGTATACATTAATTTTTGTTGCATAGTTTCTGTAGGAACTGTAAACCACACTTTTAAAGTGTTTATGTATTTGACTTATCATATAATACACTAAAGTGATTCAAGCTGAGAATGAGTTGAAACACAAAGGAAAAACCAAGTGTTTTGCATGGTACTTAGTGGATATCTCATTCATAATGGAAGTGTTTCCATTAGGCAAGGAAATACGGGAACTGGTGGATAGGGGGTAAAATATTAATCTTGCTTGTTTAGGAATTTTATGGCTTAGAATTCCAAAGATGGGACATGGTTCTCCTAAGAGTCGGAAATGAATCTATAGAGTATTATTTTAATTGTATTGGGATTTTCTCCTTGAGATAATCTAACATGGGAAGACTCTTTACAACCTTTTGCAAACGTACTTCCTCCCATCTTGCTTCTACCATCATTGATTCAGACCAGAGATGTAAATCCTTATTTTGAAAGAGAGACCTCATGAAGGATCAACAGCAGCATTCT